AAATCAGCTGAAGTTTAACAATTATAATTCATTTATCAATCATCAAATCACTATTAAACAAACGAAATAAATAATTTATCTACGATCTATCGAGACCCTATTTGAATGATATTATATTAATTTGCATTGTGTTTCAAATAAAAGTATAACAAAATTCAAGATGTCAAGGTAGGAATAACATGAAAATATTATTCCTTTTGACGAAATGCATGTAAACGAAAAGAATCGATTGTTCAAAAGATTCAAAACTGATGGTTATGGTGATACTAGTATTAGTAGTAGTGTTGGTGTTTGGTAGTAGTGGTGATGATGATGGTGGTGTGGAGAAATTGTGTGTTGCGCGCGGGTGGTAAGCTGGGGCCACGGATCTAGGCCGATCGATAGAGCTACGTATCCACGGCACCGTGGAATCGTGCTGGATAAATGGGTCAGGTACACGGAGAACTTCGTTTTCCCCTTCTAACCTACCCACAACCCCCCCCCACCACCAACCCCCCGTTTTCTTCCTTCCTTCCTCTTTTCCTCTCACCCTCTTTTACTTCCTCTCTCGTCCCGTTCCTTTTTTCCTACTTCCCGATTACACACATGTTCCTCATACACGCACTTGTTTATCCATTTATAACACGTATAGAAAAAATATTAATACACACAAACACACACGCATGTGTATATACAAGTTCAGTTGTAGGTATGTTGTTTCAATCGGTGAGCCGGTGTTGTTTTACCGGCGACTACTACTTGTTGAAGAAAAGAAGAAGTTTATGTTGAAGATAAAGAGAAAGAAAAAGAATAAGGTACAAAGATAGATAGAGAGAGAGAGAGAGAGAGAGAGAGAAGTTATTTCCAGTGTTCTCACTGTTCCAAACAGGGGGTTGGGGTGGGCTGGGGGTTAGGGGGAGGGGGTTGAGGGAAACTGTGCTACACACTATCTGCTCTGTGTGTAGAAAAGTAGGACACCGATGATACACGTGCTTTCCTATCTTCCATTTGGAAGGATACTAACATTAGTTCAGACCTTGTCCAAAAGAAATTTTACTTTATCTTTGTAACATCGTTAATCCCTTAACCATTTTCTACATCCATATTATCTTTTGTTTTTTTTTGTTTTGTTATAAAACTTTTGTAACGTTCATGTCAATGTATTCCCGATAATCGAAAGTATCGAATGTTTTCCCTAAACACAAGTTAAGATGTAACTGTGTAATAAATGATTACTTCACATTTGGTCTAAGTGGGGTGTTTGTTAACATTTTACGATCTGTTAAATTTTTGTTCATTTATTTCTATCATTTTATTTTTATTTTTTATTTTTTTTTTTTATTTTTACAGTTAAATAATTGACGAGAAAAAAAAATGGATATTACATTTCTTTGATGATGATGATGTTGTTGTTTGACCTATTGTGGTTTGGTGTCAACCGAATGAGAAAGACAGATAACACAAGGGGGTTTGACCCAAATAACGTTCTCGTCCGGGTTTGGCACGATTTGTAGAAACCGTAACCAGAGAATTGGGTCATTTAATGGGGTCGTCAAGTTTTCCGAATCAGGTTATACCCAGGTTGGTTGACCTACTAAAGAATTGGGTCGCTCGATACAGGCCAACTGGATGTTACCTAGTCTTTGCTCTGTTCCATATTCACTGTCCCGGATATTACTAGGAACTAGATATTATTCTATGCGTGTATATATACATATTTAATTGTAAATAAATAATTATATATATATATATATATACTTGTATATGTATAAAAGTACCTGGAAACGTACAGATAAGAACGTTAGTTTGCTTCATAACAGATAACGTTAATTCCTTGTTACTTCTCATCTTGATTTTTTGTTGTTCATTTTGTTTTTATACTCATCCTCATGATTTTCATCTTAAAGAGGATGTACATACGTTATATTACCTTGGATAAGAGGTTGATCGTGATTTTACTTTCGCGTTCATTTCATTCCTATTAAAGTGGCACGATAGAAGAAGATTATCTTATCGTATACTATACTTTAAGGATAATTCTTAAACGATTCTTTGATAACAACATTGGGAGATTTTGTAAATAGATTTGTGTGTGTGTGTGTAAACGACGAGTCATTTTATACAAAAGAACACCTTTTCGGCAATAATAACCGCACCAATAATAGCACCTCAAATCCCATACAAAACCCCAATATTTCTCAAAATGCATGGTTCAGTACTACAAACACAAAAGAGAGTCATTTTATACATTTAATACATTTTATACAACATCTCGTGTCTAAAAAGATTAATATCAATGTTATCAGTAAAGTAGAATTTATATTTTCTTTCGTAACGTGCCAGGATAATGACCTAGTTTCCTATCGGTTCACACATTCATCCTTTATGACCCAGTTTGTTATTTCAAACGGCATTCTCTCTCTTCTACCACCCACCCCCATGGTTTAAAACATTATCATATTTCTCACGATTTTCCTTTTTTATTCTTTTGTTTCACTTTTTTTKTTGTTTCTCAATTAAAAAATCAATTTTAAACACAAAAAATATTAACTTACGTAAAATGGTTATGGCATAATAATAATTCTATCGACATATATTACACATATCGTACAGGTTTATGTACACGTGCGTGCGTGTGTGTGTGTGTGTGTGTGTGTGCATACGCGTATCCAGTATTGCATTTTATGAATATTTTTATAAAAAAAAAAGAAAAATCTTTTTACACACGATCGATACAAACTCGTCCTCCTGCTTGATCATATTACGTAACGTTTGAAAGATGACTGCATAATGTAAACACACGTAGATACGTGTGCGTGTACCCAACACTTCGCGATTTCCACTTGGCCGGTTACTTCATTAGAAGGTGCAAAAGTGTACACCGGTGGTTTACATTAGATACATATAGTTATATATGTTAGCTTTGGTAAACTTCTAATCCCTCGTTAACATATCACCGGTTCCACTTTACGATAAGGAACTGGCTTATACCTAACCGCATAATATTTTTGTGTGTTTTTTTTTTTTTTTTGCATAGATCTTCGCATACGTGTGCACATTGCATTGTACATATCTTTCTTGTTCGAATTTTTTGTTTTTTTTGTTTTGACAAATGATTAGATCATCTTTCATATGAAATTCCAAAGCAATGATCATTAATCTTAATAATTCAATTAGACAAAAATTAACTACACGTTTGTAAACGTTTATTTTATTAATTCGAGGATAAAAGATTTTCTTTATCTTTATTATTTTAAAAAAAAAATTGTTTTACGATCGACGTTTAAATTCTTTATTGATATTATAACTATGCTAATATGCAGAATTTTGTAGAATTTTGCAGAATGGATTGATTAGTCGATCAAAACGAAGTGTATATTTAATATTAATATTTTTAATTAAATTGTAAAAAAAAAAAGAAAAAAAATACTATAACCAGTTTTATGTTACACTCATACTCGATATTATATAACGTGTTCATAAATATTAACAAATTTTATTTGATCACCCTCGAGTAATATGTTTTTTTTTTTTTTTCTAATAAAATTACAAAACCTATCTAATTAGCTTCTTTATTATTATGATTAGATCATATTTAATTTGCCAACGAATTAGATTGTATTAGAAATTTTCTTAGTACCTGATATAAAATTGAAATTCCAGTTGTAATGACTGACCATCGATCTGAAATAAATAAAATTAGACAAATAGAAGATAAGAAAAAAATCTCGAAGATTTATGTAATACAAGTTGAATAGATTTGAACAACATAATGCAATTTGTAATAGGTTTTATCGATATAATATATTAGTCGTCGTAGTAATAGTAATAGTAATAGTAATAGTATTAGTAGTAGTAGTACTAGTATCGAAAGTCGAAAGTGAAATTACGAAGTGGTCGACGATGCTGTCAGCCAAGTTAGTCAGACCATTCGAAAGTAACACCTGTCTCGATATATACACGTATATTACAGTTTATCGTAACATGCAAATTCGTTCATTTTAGTTTTTTTTATATTAAACTAATTGTAAATAGAAAATGATCGATTATTCATTCGTAAGAAAAATTCCATGAAATCGTAGAAAAAAAAAAAAATACTACAAATCATATTTATGAGATAAAATGTTGACAAAATTTGATTGTTTCATGTGATTATGACTTACACTATCATTACATGCTTTATTTATTTTTATATAATAATAAAAAAAAAATACGGAAGAAAGTTATTAGAATAATAAAATGATCGATCGAAACAAACGTTCGTATCGATAATAAAATGTGTGTGCATGTGTTGTGCTGGTTAAATGTCATGGAAAGTGACTACGTGTATATTTCGCGCCGATTTCAACCGGTTGATCTTTAATACGGTGAAAGCACGTGCTTACAAACGTTATATCTACTATCTTGCATTGGTTTAAGTATGTTGAAAACTTATACGATGTCTTCGCTAATTTTATCCCATATGGAATTTATATATATATATATATATATATATATATATTTTTTCTAAACGTTTCTTCATAAAAAAGATAAACACACGCTAATATCCAATTAACGTTTCGATGAAATTAAATAGTCTTATCCTCGTATAATTTTCTGTATTTCTTTTTTTTTTTATTATTATTATTATTATTATTTTATTTCCAATGAAATCGATTGTGTTTCTTCATTTAGTAGAAATATAATACATTTTTATCAATTCCACGTATATATATATATATATATAAATTCTTTTGGAATTAATAATTTTGTTACTGGAAAAAGAATAAATATTTGATTATATTACAATGTATATATGTGAGTATGTATGTGTGTGACTTTTTTAATTTTTTTTTTTATAATATATTCGATAAAATTTAAATATATTTATAATCGGAAAATGTAACAAGGAAAAGAACTATTTTTATATAAAAGATAGATAAATTGATAAGTAAAAAAAATAAATCTTTTTTTTTGTATAAAAACAATTAATTGGTCTAACAAAAAAAAATTGATTGAACAAAAAAAAATGAATGTTTCAGATCTAGAAAACGACGTCCAAGTTCGAGCAACGATTCTGAACGATCTTACAGTGGATGGAGCGAAAGGATACCCCATGGTTGCGGTCGGGAGGGTTGTCGTACCAACGAACGTGGTGATTGCATGGACGAATGCACTGCCGCGTTGGTTCTCATGTCGCTTTCATGCTCACCCCACAGTCCTCACAACCCATTACCACTACACTGCCAACACAATTACGGTCAGTAGTTAATGCTAAATTGTTCACGTTATTATTATTCTCATTAATCAAAAATTATTCAATATTTTTGACAAAATACATAATTCCAATTTATAATTGCAATTTGTCTACAATCTAATTTTAATATTATTCGAAAAATTAATACTATATATATGTGTCATTTGAAATTAACAAATAATTAATGTCTAAATAGAAATAAACAATAATTAAAGATACTCAATTAATTTTTTAATTTTATTGAATACAAATTTGATTAATTATATTAATAATTTAATAATTATTAATTATATTAAATATTAATTTAATTTCTTATGAGATTTTAATAGTTATAGGAGTACATTTATTTTGATTACTATTATAAAAATATAATAATTATTACTTAGGAATAAATTAAAATATTTTCGTATTTTTGTATGATTATTATTACACGTTATTTATTTTATTATTTATTTAATTATTACAATCAATTAACTGTTGTACTTTAACACTAGATTTACGGATATTTTGTATACTAAATATTTTTTACAAAATTAAAAACATTGTTTGTATGAAGAAGTAGGGTAGATGAGAGGAATTAATATTTACGTATATTTTATTACATTATAATTATGACTCCTTGTTAATAAATTAAAATATAAACTATCCTATCTTTCAAGTTGGATGAAATTGCACACAGTGTGCAAAATTTGATTCAAATCCGTTCAATAGTTTAGGAGTCCATTGCGAACAAACAACGTGACACATAATTTATACATATATATATATTACGATATATGTAGCAAGAAAAAAAAAAGTGAAATGTGAGTGAAATTGAAAATGGAAGTACTGATGTCAGTTCATAAATCTAGTGTTAATAACGTAATAATTTGTTTGTTATTTGTAATAACAAATGATTAAAATTGATTAACGTCAACAAATTGTTTGACTTTGATAATGAAGGTTCCTGGGGAGGTAGAGGAGGAGTTGGTGGTGGTGTAGTAGTAGGTTCACCAGGAGTTGGTGGTACCTCGAATAGTAGCAGCAGCAGTAGCGGTGCTTCCTGGCGAAGTGGGACCCCAAGTCCACCCTTAAGTGACGAGGGTGCACCAACGACTGGTTCGTTGTGGCCAACACCGGCTCACGTATCGCACATCAATCAAGCTCATTATCCTTGCAACCTTTCGGGTTCATCGTCGAGCAGTACGCCTGGTTCGACGATCACTATGGACGAAGGCATAGTCCCGGATTATCTCGAGGAACAACATCCACGTAAAAAAAAGGTATAAACGTGTCTCATTTTCTTTTTTTAATCAAACGTAAATTAGCAACAACAACAAGAAGAAAAAAAAATTACAAATTGAAATTAAATTAATACAAAATATTACCAATAGTTTTCGATATACACACACGTTTATATGTAGTTGTGTATGTGTGTGTGTGTGTGTGTGTGTTTTTTTTTACGGCAAATCATTTAACGTTGATTGATTATTTGATTGATTTCATTCTATGGAAATATTCAATTTCTATTGAATCGATCGAATAAAATTACCATTACCACGATTTTGTAGAAATTTTCGATTGATTACAATATTCTTTTCTTTTTTTTCTAATTCGTTTTTTTTATTATTTTTTTTTTTTATTTATTTTTTTTTTTTTTGAATGATAATCAAAACGCTAAATTCAATCGGTCATTTTTATTTCTAATCGTAAATGAGATTTATATCTATTCGTATACCTATACCTTACGATCAATTTGAATTTAATTAACTAATTATTTTTATTTTTATTTTTTGTTTTTTTTTAATTATTATTATTATTATTATCAATCATTACGATTAATCATCGATATAATCAATTTTTAAAATAATTAATCAATAAAATTTAATCATTGCATTCTTATCTCACGATAATACGTAATGTTTACATTGGATAATAAACACGTTTATATATTTGATTTTTAGTTAACATGTATAGAAAAAAATTCCTATTTACGTTATATATATATAAACACATAGACACATACATATATATGTACGTAGGATATAAAAAAGAAAACAGTAGGACGTGCGAGGAAAAATATCATAATAAACGTGTGCATGAATACTCGTATGAATGCATATCACCTTACAAAACGATCCTAACTTGCATTTATAATAGCAGCATCTGTTTATCTCTCGTTATAATTCGTTCTTTGTTAAAGTGACCTTCGAATACTAGAAATTAACATATAGAATATTAGAATTTATACGGTAATACTTTTAAACAAATATAATTCGATCGTATAATGTGTAATAATAAAATTGAATGGACATAAATTGAAAAAGTATTATAATATTATTTTATTTTTTTAATTTAACATTTGATGAATAATATTTAATTTTTTATAATAAACAAAAAATTATCTAAAAATAGTTTATTATTTTTTCGTTGATTTTTATTAATGAAATTATTGTAAATTTTGTAAAATCATTTAATTGATTATTAATAATTACAACAAATTATATTATATTTATATTATTATTTTATTATATTTAATTTTATATTATTAATTATATTATTATTTATATAATAATAAATTTATTATTATATAAATAATAATATAATTAATAATATAAAATTATTTAAATATAATAAAATAATAATATAAATATAATATAACATTAAAAATAGAATATAAATAATAATAATATAAATTAATATAATTTATTGTATTTATTAATAATCAATTTAATGAGTTTACAAAATTTACCATAATTATATAAATACATAATTAAAAAAAAACCGGAGTACTTAATAAATTAATTTTAATTTTCAATAATTATTAAACTAATTTCGATAATCTATTTAATTTTTTTTTTTTTTGGTTCCTATTCATACAACGTTATAATTTGCGTGTCAACAATAGCGAGAATAATTTTGAAAAATAGTTGTTTTTGTTGTTATTATTATTATTGTTTTCTCTATCCATTTTCGTAACATCCCAGATAATTTGTATCCATTCATTATAATTGAATATAAAAGAGTTACTTCTCACGTTGAGATTGTTGTTTCAAGTCCTCATTTATTTCGTATCGTATCTATTATCTCAACACGAAGGCGTTTCCTGAGACTACTTTATTACGAAAAGGTGTTCAACAGTTAAAACATATTATCACGAATCGATCAAATGACCGGTTTTCAAATATACAATTAAAATTTTCTCTTCTTTATATCATATTTATGGTTTATTCATTATTTGACATTTATAACGTCACTATTATTATTATTAATTATTAATTATTATTATTTTATTTATTATTTTTCAAAACATATTTATCGATTTATTATAAAAAAAATCGAAGAAGAAAAAGAAAATAAATACGATTTTCTTCGATTAGACATAAATTTTATATTAAAAAAAAAAAAAAAAAAAATTAACCCCTTCGACGAATAAGAAGAAAACAATCGAAGAAGAAAATCAAAAGTAAATACGATTTTCTTCGATTAGACAAAATTTGTATATTAAAAAAAAAAAAAAAATCTAACAC